TGGTACATTCCACTAAAACCAGTTGCCTCCTTTCCTTCGCCTACCTTTACCCCATTATCTTCCGGTCTCTGCGACTCCACGGAATTGAATTGGCAAACTCCGCCCACTTTGACACATACCTTGCCCCTCCAATAGCAGTTGACCTCCTTTCCTTTGCCAACCTCTACTCCCTTTTTCCCGGTCTCCAGGACTTCTTGGAACCGAGTTATATTTTCGTGGATAACTCGCCCACTTCGGTGCATCCCGCCCACCAACAGCAGTTAACCTTGTTTCCACCGCCGACCTCTATACCATTGTTTTCCCAGTCTCTGGGACTTCTTAGAACCGAGTTATTTTTGTAGCGAACTCGCCCATTTTTGTGTAAGCCGCGCCCAGGATTAGCATTTAGCCTCGCCTCCTCCTCTGACCACTATCCCCTTTTCTCGCTTTCAAGGCTTTTCGGAATGGAACTATGGGGACTTGTAGGAAACGCTGTGTACTCCGAACAAGTAGGACATTCATAATCAGGAAGTCGTACTACCTCGGCAAACTTCTGGTCAAATCTGGAATTTTGACCTAAATTCGGACATTTGGGCAGTCTTTTCTCATATATCCATTTATCCATCACAAAAGGCTGTTTTTAGGATTTAGTAAAATTTCTAAACACGCTTAAGAAAAGACAAGAAGTATCTGGCTTGCCCAATCAACCTAGGATCTGCGAGGCATGACTCCAAATACAACCCCCTCTTCCCTCTCTCCCCCGTCGTCCATGATTGGTCAACCCAAAAAAGTGGAGTTTGAGGAGTGGTAATCCCATCACTGCTCCTTTTTCTCAATTAGTTCATGACCTCAGGTTTGGCAAAACACTATTTGAGGAATAGTTTGATCCCTTGAACACGAATTCCGCACCTATCGAAATGAAAAGCATCGCACCCTGGGCACTCGTAGGAAAGTAGTGCCCAGAATTTAGAGCATAGCATACTTTTCATAGATGCACCTTCAGACGAGCACTCATAAAATAACTTGTTCGAGAGCTTTTTAGCTATGGTGAAAAAAGTAAACACCAAACTTTGAAAGGAACCGAACCCGAAACCCTTTGCTCACAAGCAAGACCGCTGCCGACTGCAGAAATGTACATTTTATTTCATCTGGCATGGATGACCTGATGATCTTGGCAGCACTTTTAGAAGTACACAAACATTTCCAAGAGCAAAGTGAATTCAAGAAGAGGCTCAAGCACAAAAACATCTTATGAAGGGTTCAGTGAACGTGGAAATCAATTACTGAATTATAAAATCCTCCACTCACAACTCAAATGATGAAATACTTTGCACGCAGAAACTAGGTGGAATGCGTAGATTAGGCAAGATCTACGCGGACATCGGAGTTATCTTCTCATTTTTCAGCTCGATAATAGGTAAAGAGGCCCATACTTGGTTTCCATCGAGAAGCACCTCAGGTGGCTGCAAAGACGTGAACATTTGTGATGCGCCGAACCTTAGAGACAGTCAACTTACAAGGTGTTCGAGATCAGCCACTTTAGCCTCTCTGAGACTCCACTCTCTGATGAAAAAGTTCTCGTCATTGTCACCAACTAAACGTGTGTCGCAAACACTAAAAATTGAGAATTGACAGCAATTTTCAATACGAAACGTGACGTGGACAAAACAGATCATCAAGTTCACTATAAACCAAAGCAATGTAGTAACATGGGAAAGATGTAAACGTGTAAAAGATTCAGGCAAGGCACATTCATGACGGCGCCCTTTTTTGCTTCCTGATGGGACGGGCGGGATTTTGCCGCCGCCTCACTTCACCTCTGTAAATTTTGTGCAATTAAGGATTAAAAACAACAAGACGGTTTAGACAGTCAAGGGGATCTGTATTACCGTAACCATAATTTACAAATTGCTGGGGCGCGGATTTGTACTGGAGTACGAGATCAAATGAAGCAAACTCATCAAACTCCCTTATCCATTGTGTTCTGCTTTTACCCTAACTTCCGGTAGATAAGCCCGCGCCGATATCACGTAAAAACACCTCCGCTGGTGCAGTGCACTTACGTATATCTAGGGACAACCGTAACGTGCCCATAGGAGTTATTCGATATGCTGCTTACGAAGACGAAGTTCATTTTTCAACAATGCGTCAGTCTGGCGGCCAATGCCGCCACTTGTACGCCCGTTGTTTTTAACAAACGGTGTAACGTTGAGGGGGTGTAGTTATGTCTGTAGGATGTGACATCCTCGGCGTTGGTGCTAGCCTATTTTCTGCTCTTCTGCGCTCCCCGAGCGAGAACTGTGCGTTGAACAATGTTAATGTCAAAAACAAATGCCATATTCGTAACCAGGGCGCCGAATAACCTTATACGGAAATTTACACCGACATTGGTGAAAATTAAGGGTCGGTGGACAATGTGATGCAACTGGCCAGATGGCGCCAAAATATGAAAGTCATTTTCGTAATCACTGCACCGAATTCGACAGACAAAATTACGGTAGTTTCTAAGGTGTATAAAACTACACTGCATGAGCGGAGGTATTTTTGTGCGAAATCGTCGCGGGATTATCTGACGGAAATTGGAGTGATTCAAGAATACTTCCTTTAGAAAATCCGTTCTTTTGAATAAGTACAAACTCAGGTTTGACACCTTCCGGGCCACATAATTTCGTTTTTCCCTTTTGCGTGAAAGTGG